GTGAATGACATTTTTGACAAAACCACGAGCCGTCAACGTTTTGTCAAAAATTTCATGAGCGAAATTATCAAAAAGCAACAAACTTGAATAAAACCAAGAGAATAATTTTGCCTACATAATTTTTTCTTGAGTGGTATTTGGCTGGACTATTTCACGAGAGAAACAAGCCAAATTTTCATTTGGAAAATTTATTTTCTTTAGGTGACACTTGTCAAACTCAATAGTTTTTTACATTAACCCAGAGATCACAGATTAACCCGTCCTAAAGATAGGAAACTTCCATGTAAAATGTTCGTTCGGAGGCCACAAACTTTCATGAAAGAAAAATTGTAATCAACTTTTTCACTTTCCGTAAAGATTTTACATTTTAGTGCAAGTTTCTCAATCCTATTAAGGAAAATAATTTTCATCACAAATGCTCAGAGCATCTAGAGCCGATTCACTATCTATATGATTGTGTAAAACTGTTTTTTGAAAAATAATAAATTTCCCTCTTAGCACTATCAAGGATGGCTCGTTTATAAGAGCAATAAATATTTTGTTATTATAAACTTTTTTTATTGCTTCCTCTAAATTATCAATTGGCATGTAACATGTAATGTTATTTGGTAAAAGAAAATTTAACAAAAGTGATGCAAGATTTTCTTTAGAGAATCTATTTTCAAAATCTTGCAAAACTGAATCGAATAAAAGTATACAGGGTGTTCCTAAATATCATGTTCAAATGGAAGTAGGTGATTCTCTGGTTTATTTTACAACTAAAATTATCAGTAATTAGCTGAATGAAACTAGTTCCTTTGAAATTTTCTAGTAGATTATGGCTTCATTTGGATTATCTTTTGTTTCTGAAAAAGGCTTCACATGTGTAAACATTTAGCTCCTATTGCGTAACCAATATTTCAAATTTGAGCTAAATCGCTTAAAAATTGCAAGAGCCATAGAGAAAAAGCTAAGAAAATATTGAAATTTCAACGCCCTGTAGATCAGCTACGAAGCGTACGCGGACCTATGTTCATTTGAAATTTTGTTCATAAAAAAAAAAACAAAAAAATCACCCCCTTCCCGGGAAGGAAAATCCTGTTGACGGAGGTGGAGTGCAGGCGCCCTTTGAATGTGTAATGGTATAGCAGAGAATTATGCAAAATGCGCCAAACAACTTGATGGATAATATTTGACATTACGGAAATTTTCCTAGTGTTGGTCTCTGGGTGTTCTTCTTTTTCATTTAGAACACCTTCTTCGATCTATGGTGTTCGAAGAGTACGCGGTCTACCTGCACCATTGCTGTTCTTAACAAAAGTTCCAGTTTCCACAAGAAATATTCGGGGATCAGTTATTGTTCTATTTAGATAGCGCTCCATGTACAGACGTCTGGCTTCTCTTGCATATCCATTCGCAGAGCCATAAATAAAATGCATCTAAACCGTTTCAGAATTCGTATAAACTGCCATTGTAACGAGAGTATAACGAGCATTTGAAACACTCCTACACCTTACAACTTTATTGTTGACACAACTTTTGAAATGCCAGATGTCAAAATTAATAAACAAAAGATTATCCAAATAAAGTCATAGCTTACTAGAATATTTCAATAATAAGTTTTATCTACAGTGGACGAATATACCACATAGTGGCGACAATTGCCGTCCTATTTTTGATTGGATAACCAAAGAATCACCCCCTTCCATTTGTACATGACATTCAGGAACACCCTGTATATATGACCCAGTTTTAGGCTCAATTTGTTTTTGATTTTTGTCAAACAATCCTGCCTTGATGCCAAACGTAACAATTTCAATTCCACGTTCAAATTTCCCATAACTTTATTTGTGCTTTTTAAAATAATGTCAAATGCATTATCGGCATCGAATCGTTTGTTTTCGATAACTTCTAGAAAATATTTTAACTTCGAGGTATTTGTCGCAAGATCCATATTTTTACATTGCAAGAATTTTCGCTAAATGGCAACGTAAGGCAAACAATATCTGCTGAACAGTTAATGGCCAAAATATCACAATCGCAAACACCGTTTAATTTAAAGTTGCCCGACTTGAAGATGTAGTATCATTCGACTCGGCAATTTCTTCCAATGCAGCAACAATATGAGGCAAATCTCTTGCAAATTGTGAAATTGAATCATGTCGTTCGACCCACCTTATTTCACATAGCGTGATTAAAGTATTTTTCATGTTTTTTCAAAACAAAATGTCTTTTTGGAGATCCATGGAAAAATGGAACAGTTTCATGGATAATGTCAATTGATTTTTTTATAGATTTAACAGATTTAGACATTGATAAAGTTAAATTAAGCGCATGATTGGAACACGGACATATAGTAGCATTAATTGCCTCTTTTTGAATCTCGACAGCTGCTTCCCTCACTTTAGACATATTAACAGAACATCCGTCGCAACCGATACCTACACAATTTTTCAGGTCCAAACCTATAAAAAAAAAAAATAGTGATTTAATTTTTTGATTAACAGATTTTCCTGATATTATGCCCTTAACTACCGGTTCTTCTCTCAAATCCTTATTGTAATTGGTACTATGAAGTCGATAAAACCTAAACAGTGAATCTGTCGAATATCATATTTAATTATTTTGTAAAAATTTGGTCCGAATTTGAACAACCTTCTTCTGATCTTCGGAAAGTTCATCAAACATTCTTTTTCTTTTAGGGTTCATTTGGACTGCAATACTGGTTCTATATTCATTTTATCTGCTAGCGATTCTGGTTCTATTCTATTTGAACTCCGACTCAGCCCCTCCAATAAATTAACTAACAATGAAAGTAGTATATTTTTTTTCTGAATTTCGACTTTTACTCTATTTCACGTAGAATGTTGTTTCCAAACGGTTAGATTTAAAATAAAATCAAAAACTGAAATATTATTGCGAAGTGTTCGTGCTTCGACCCTTGAAGTCTTGTCTTTGTGCGTTCTTTCAAAAGGGCCCAACGATTTGTTGAATTAACAAAAAAAAATTAAAAGCCGATTGAACAATTCCAAATAGTTTTACGGCTTCTGTACTTGCTGAATTCCTGCCATATTGGAACATGAATGGGAAGGAGAAGAGTCCATGCAGATGATGTATGTACAATAGGCCACAATGAGCTTCAGTGCAGAGCATGCAAAAATTATACAAATATGGCAAATTAACCGGAAGACACAAAGACTATGTTCGCTTTCCGTGAACATAGTCTTTGTGCCTGGAACTGAAATAGGGAACTTGCATATTAAATATGAAATAAATAGTAAAAAACACTAATAAACATCATAATAAATCATGCAGTTAGGAAAAAAAATCTTATCCAGGTGTCCAAAATCTTCAATTGAAAATACCAAATAATTCCAAAGTTATGAAGCGCGCGAAAATAGCTATTTTCCTAACGAGTCCGGGACGAAAAATTTCCGGAAATTTCTTCCCGCAAGAGTTAGGAACTATAATTTTCCTATGAGCATACTAAAGGTGATATTACGAAAAGTTTAATATAAATAAAATGCGATTGTGCAGAAGGTTAAATTAAAAATGTATTAACCAGTATTTACAAGAAAAAGGTAAAGGTAAAGGTAAATGTGTATTAACAATACAAACAATTCGATGTCACAATAATTATTTCAAACTCTTCCCGCGCAGCAAATAGTGCGGGAAGAGCCATTTCCCGCACGCTCGTAGAAAAAGGTGTTGCTGTGTGTTAGGGCCTTTAACTGAGGTGTCAACATTTAATTTAGGGATAGATCACTGGATCATAAAGGGAATGGGGATGTCACTGCTAAATAATGCACTCACATTTCCAGTTTTATATCTCTCTATTGTTGCCAAAATAATCGTTTAATAAAGTAATAAATACTGTAACCACATTCAAGTACTTTTAATTATTCACAGGTTAGTTAACAAGTCGCATTTGAGTTATTCGAGAACATTCACTAATCGGTATAAATTCACTAGTTGCTAAGTGCTCAATAGTCAATTTAACAATAATTGTCAGTATTAGCGGAACGCTAATATTTTAATTGAGAGCACAAAATAAAGTTTATTCTTAATAGAAATCTTCGGGAGTTGAGAGTTTTTATATTTTTAGAGAGCCCTTAAAAAAGGGGAGTGTGATTAACTCAATGTTTTACGCGATATTATATCGCTTGAATTTTCAAGCCAGCAGCCAGAGAGATAAAAAAATAAGTCTTTTTATTTAGAGAGCGAGAGAGAGAGACTGCACAAGGGTGCAACTAGAGAGAATAATTAAATAATTAGAGAACAGTGAGCAGGTTCAAACTTGTATAGAGCTAGACGTTTTTACGCACTATTTATTGCTAGTGAAACCACACTACTAAAATCACAAATCACACTGCAAAGTGAAAAAGATAAGGAATGCATTTTTTCCCTTAGCGACAACAACCCGACTGGATTGAAGCAGTACAGCCTGGTACGGCGCCAGCGGCAAATTTCACGGCGGGGGGCTTTTTTGCAACGTTGCCACTGTGATCATAAAAAATAAATACGATTGTTTGGCTGTTTCCACAACACTGTGGGCGTGACGTCAAAAGGCAATAATAACCGGTTGACCTGCGCCGCCACGACGTCCGGTGTCGCCATTGTCTATTATGCCATTGTCAACCGTGGCGCAAATTTGATTATATATTTTTTTAAAGAACGAGTAAAACACACAGTCTATCTTCACTCTTTAAATTACAAAAATAATCAGTTGGAAGGGGGGTTGTACATGTTTCGGATCTATCAGAGATCCATCATCAGCATAAGTTCTACAAGTTACTTATGCTGATGATGGATCTATGATAGATCCGAAACATGTACAACCCCCCTTCCAACTGATTATTTTTGTAAAATAAAGAGTGAAGATAGACTGTGTGTTTTACTCCAGTTCTTTAACTATTCTCTTCACTGTGAGACATGGACTACCATTTCAAAATATATTTTTTTATTTTTAATATTAGGATTTGCTATTAGAATTTGATGTGTGTATTAGTACTCATATCAATATGACCGAAGAAGGTTTTTTCAAAGGAGATTCTGATAACTTGCCTATGGTGGATATGTTTATGGTTGCGGATATTATCAAAAATTCTGAAAACTTTCCCCTAGGCGAAATTCGTGGTGTCACAGCAGATAAGTAAGCATCTATTAATCCTAATTTGAGTTGGTAAGTTCTATTTATAGGTATGTTATTAATTATAGATCTGCAAGATAATCATATGAAGATGCAGCTGTAGGATAGGTATAAATGCGAAGACAAAATAATATCTGCACAGTAAAATCGAAAATAACACCAAAACATAATGTTCGAAAGAAACAATACTCTGTGAGATGCAATATCATTGGAGCATTGGAAAAAATTGAGACTGTGCTGCGTCTTCAGGTAAACACAGTGACTTTCAATTTTTGATTATTTAGTTATTACTCATCATTGTAGGTGGTAGTAAGAATGCGAATGCGTTCTTAATGTGGCTTCATAGAAGAAGCGAAGAGCCTTCTCCGACATCAGTTTTCTGCTACTGGGTGAAAAGCAAGCTTTCGAAAGTTGGAACTTCAATTAAATTCTTAACACTAAGGATTTTGGTGCCCCGAAAAAACTAAGTTCATATGAAGGAAGCTCCACTTTCTTGAAGGAAGTAATAGATTAAGGCATTGAAAAACTCAGAAAGCCAGTTTTTGAAGCCCTGCCAAATCCTGATGGTATAAAAAGTAATCTGGGCCTTTTCCAATTAATGGATAGTTATGTATTCTGTACGAATCTTAAAGAGAAAAATTGTGCAGAATTTGTTGAATATTGTCCTTCAACAATGGACTCGGAGTTGTGTTCTGAAGCTGTCGCTGAAGCAGTGGTACAATTAGTATCAAGTTTATGGTTCGAAGTTAGATACACGCGAATCACAGCATCAAAACTTTATAAAGGAGCCCATTGCAAAAAAAGCGATAGAGTATTCGTGAGCCAAGTTCTGGGAGTTTCAATATTTAAACACGCAGCTGCCATGACAAGAGTGATAAAATTGGAAAAAAAGGTGAAAGAAGTAATGGAAAAAGAAATTTAAGTTAAATTTGGTGATGCTGCAATAAAGTCCAAAATATGTAATTTTTGAAGCATCACCTGATGCTATATGCGATGAATACATAGTTGAAATCAAATGTCCTCAATCAGAAAAAACAGTTGTAAATTATCTGCTTAAAAATAATAAAATTACTTCAAAATACAAGGCTCAAATTCAACTGCAAATGTTTGAGAAGAAGAATTGTTTATTTTGTGTGGCTGATCCAAATTTTGGAAACAATTCGAAATTTTACCATGTTTGAGAACTTGATAGAGGAATAGGTAGGCACATAACTTTTTTGATGGATGCAGCCGAATAGTTTTGGCGTGATAATGTTTTTGTTCATTTATATAATTATGTTAAAATAAAGAAATAAAATGCAACTAAAACCTATATTTATATCTGTTTATTTACCTATTCCAAAAATGTCTTACTGATTAAAAAAGAAGAATAAAACTAATAATTTAAAGGAATCTGGAATGATCAAAAATCACAACTAAGTATGTCTAATTCATTTTAATAACAAATCACTACTGCCCTGAAATTACTCCAGATTGTAAGTTAATTAGACCACATACCTTCTCTTATATTTATACAGGGTGGCCATTTGAAAACGAAACAGAGGTGATTTTGGGCTCCCCAAGACATTTAAGAAAAAACCCTTGTACCCGTCGATTTTTGATTTAAGGGGGATCCATTTTTTTGGTGTTTTCACCCCCTGGGGGGCAAAGCCCTAGCGGTGGTGACAAGGGCCCCCAAAATTTTAAATGGAATGAGGGGTCGAGTGATACCTTATTTTGAAGCTATTTTGGTCCGATGGGTCGTTTCGGCATAATACCCTTGTCAAGCAAAATGGGGGTGTTTCTAAAGCAGTCTGTCGAATTGAGGATAATTTTTTTATATTTATTTTGAAAAGTCCACTGATAAGTCGCAATGCCAAACTATCGATCCTCTAAGATTTTCCATTTAATTTTTTTATCGCAAGTAAAACGGCTTCAAACATGACTGAAAATGGAAAAAAATCGGCGGGAATTCAAACTCAAACGAAGTAGGCAGCGAGCTCCCCCCGACCACGCAAATTACATTTTTTTTCCATTTTCAGTGATGTTCGGAGCCGTTTCACTTTTGTGGAAATTGTGGAAAAAATTATAATTAATGATAATGTTTTTTCCTTTAAAGTTGATACTGGAGCGCAATGCAATATCCTTCCTGCCAAGATTTTAAGAATGGTCGCACCAAAAGCCTTCATCAAGCCTCAACAGATAAATCTAACAGCATATGGTGGTGCAAGGATTGATGTCAAAGGATCTACAGAGCTTAATTGTAGGGTGCGTGGTGAGAAATATTTACTGAATTTTTTTATTGTAAATGCTGAAGCTAGACCTATTTTGGGAGTGGAATCGAGTATTAACTTAAATTTATTACAAACAGTTGACAGTGTGAAAAAATCTGCTAATTTCCCATATTTTTCATCAAAAAATGAAGTAATACAAAAGTATAAAACTGTATTTGAAGGGTTGGGAACATTTCCTGGAAAACCTTATAAATTTTCTTTGAAAGATGATGCAAATGCTTGTGTTTTTCCTGCTAGAAGGATTCCTAAAAGTTTATTACCAGAGTTTCAAAATTCATTAATTAAGTTATAGACCCTGAGATAGGGCCTGTTTAGTGGAGTCATTTTTTTTGTCTGGCATTTTGAGGGAAGAATGTGACTAGTTAGCTGATGAGAATATAGGTGGTTTTAATGCCTGCCTCCTGTTCGAAATGTCCACAGAATGTTTCGCCTGAAAACTCGATTTCGAACTGTGATTACCGTCTGGCGATTTTTCAGCGTTATTTTCACAAAAAACCTTTCATTCTCTCGATTGCCAGACAAAAAGTAAACGCGGAAGGTTCTTTTCTTTTCTCTTGGAAGTTGACACCCATCCCCATTTTTTCAGCTATTGAAAAGCATCTGATATTTTTCATGGGTGAATTATTTATCAATGTCAATCTTTTATTTAAAAGCCAGAAAATTTGGGATCATTAAAAAAAAATTCTTCATATAGGTAAATCAATTTTTTTCTTCTGCAAATTTTCGAACGGGAGGCCGGCATTAAAATCACCCATATTCTCATCAGCTTAGTAGCCACATTCAACCCTCAAAATGCCAGACAAAAAAAAATGACTCCACCAAACAGCCCCTATCTCACAGTCTATTAGAAAAACAAGGTGTTATTTGTAAACAAACAGAGCCTACTGACTGGGCCAATAATATAGTTGTTACTGAAAAACCAAATAAAAAATTAGGAATTGTCTTGACCCATCAGTTTTAAATCAGCACATTAAAAGGGAACATTTTCAGATACCTGCAGCTGATGTAATTTTATGTGATTTGCTAACATTTGCAACACCTTTGGAAAGATACAGATTTTTGAGACTGCCCTTTGGTATAAATACTGCGGCAAAGGTTTTTCAGAGAAAAAATACAATAATTTTTGGGGATATCTTAGGTAATAAAGTTTTTATTGATGATTTGATTATCTCAGGAGCCACAGAGCAAGATCATGATGAAATTTTAAATGAAGTCTTAAAAACAGCTAAAATAAATGGCATAACTTTCAATAAGGAAAAATTTCAATTTAAAAAAAATGAAGTAAAGATTTTGGGTTTTAAAGTTTCGCAAAAGGGTGTAGAAATTGATCCTGGACGGATTGAAGCAATTTTAAAGTTAGAGGATCCTTAAAATAAAAAGGAACTTTTAAGATTTTTGGGTTTAGTAAAGTACTTAGCCAAATTCATACCTAATTTATCACAAATAACTGCCCCATTAAGGAAATTAACTTGTTTAAATGTCATTTGGAATTGGGATAAAATCCATTCAGAAAGTGTCCAAATATTAAAAAAATTATTAACTTCACCCCCTTGTTTAAAACATTACGATGTAAACGAACCTATATCAATTCAATGTGATGCATCTTCAGAGGGAATGGGTGCATGTTTGCTACAAAAGGGGCAACCCATAGCATCGGCTAGTCGGGCTTTGATAGATTGTGAAAGAAGGTATGCTTGTATTGAAAGGGAAATGTCTGCCATATTATTTGCTGCTGAAAAAATCAATTTTTATATATATGGAAAAAAAATTAGTGTCCACGCAGATCATAAACCTCTAGTCAATATTTAAAAAAAAGATATTAATAAAGTTTCCAGTAGACTACTTCGGCTCATGAAATATCAATTAGAAGTTTCTTATTTACCTGGAAAACAAATGTTCATTGCGGATATGCTATCCAGAGCTTTCTTGAAAAAAGCAGTTAAAGATGATCCAGAGCATAATTTTATTATTCATCATATCGAAAGAAAAATACCTATGACTGAAAGTAAAAAATCTGAAATAATTCTTGAAACCAATAATGACAAAAATTTGGCATTATTAAAAAAATTCATTGTGAAAGGGTGGCCAAAAGATATAAAATCATTATCTCTAGAACTTAAAAACTTTTTTCAAATAAGAAATGAAATTTCAGTTGAAAATGACTTGGTCTTTTTTGGTAATAGAATCATAATTCCAAAAAAACTTAGAAATATAATGTTAATTAAATTACATGAAGGTCACATAGGGATAAACAAATGTAGAGCTAAGGCTAGGGAAAGTATTTTTTGGCCAAATATTAGTAGTGATATTACTCAATTTATTCTAAATTGTGATGTTTGTCTTAGATTCAGAAATAATAATCCCAAATTACCACTTTTATAACATGATATACCAGAAAGACCTTGGCAAAAAATTGCCATGGATATTTGTGAGTTTCAGGGATTCTTTTTTCTTGTGGTGATAGATTATTTTTCAAAGTGGATTGAATTGAAACAAATAAAAAATAAGGATTCAGTTGAAGTAGTGAAAGCTTTGAAAAGTATTTTTTCAGTACATGGTTTTCCAGAATTAGTTTTTTCAGATAATAATCCATTTAACCCATTTAAATTATGGGGAAAAGGTATAATAGATCAAGAGACAGAATTTCCTAGGTCATTTGTAATTAAAGACGTATTTGGCAATTTGTATCGGCGTAATAGACAACATTTAATTATTGCCAAAGATGATTCTATGATAAATGTACCTTCAAATGAAAAGTCTTTAAATGACAATAGTGAAAGTTTTAGACGAGAACCTTATTTCCTAAGAAGTTCTGTTCGGAATCAAGAATAGTAGGTACTTATTTATTATTGATTGTAATTTATATATATATTTTTTTGATCCCCTGTGTAAATGTAAATAAATGTGTATATAAAAAGAAATGTAAATAAACTTTATGAATGTCAAATTTATTCTGTACTAATAATCGGTTAATTTTGTCTATGAATATATTTTTTTTTATCTTATAGGGGGGATGTAACATATAGGTATAACATATATGTTTTCATATATTATTATTAATATATTATTATAAATTATTGTTTACCCATAGGCAACCAATTATACTTTGGTACTATAGTTTAGGTTGGTACTAGAATATTAATTATTGTACTAAGTTGGTACTATTGGTTGTATATAGTAAGTATAGTCCAACAAATACCATTTTAAAGTCACGTGATTTTTCTCTTTCCTTGTTAAATACATCTCAAACAGCGGTGATAGTAAAATTGACAAAAAAATTGGTGTCTAATTATTGTTCATAATATTCTTACCTGAAATAGAATCCGTCACTGTCATCATTTAGTTTGTCAAAGTTATGTTCGAAAATAATACAACGAACAAACACAGCTAATAATTTTGACTATATTAACCTTTTTCCAACTCGAAAAGAAGCAAATAGAGAACGGGTACCCAGTTTAAGTTCAGAATGTATTACAACAGACAGCAGACCCGCTAAACATGAAACATTCTTGAAACATTTCATATTTGCAAAAATATTGCACAAATGTAACATAAAACAAATAAGTTTAAAAAATGTTTCTGAAACATTTAATTTTTTTTTTTTAATTCCATAAATAACACCTATACCAAAACCTACTGTTTTTATTAATACCCTAGTGGAATTTTCATTTATTAAAGTCAGTTTTTTTATTGAAGACAAAAGTTAAAATGACATTATGTTGGCAATACAATGTAAAACTGTCAATTCTCTCAAAATTTCAAATTTTTTACGTAAAAAAGGCTTGTGTTGCCAATATAGTTACTGAATTTATGATTTGTGAATTTGTTTTTAATAAAAAACAGACTTTAGGAATCGTGTAGGAGCATTCGTCACTAGGATTAGTCAGGAAAACACCGGTTTCGGTTAAAGAAGAAATAAGCCGTACTATCAAATCAAGCTGACTGCTGAAAAACTCAACTGGACTTCCTTTTTTTTGCTGGTGATTTTCTATCTAACTCAGTTTACATGCGATAGAAAAAGAAAGCAATAGTCCTAAACAAAAACGTGATGGAGTGAAAATTCTCATATTTGTGTCTGTCTCTGTCTGTTATTTGTGTAGTGTAGTGTTTCCATACTCCGTCAGCATACTGTCATATGTCATATCAATTGATATGTCATCGCGTCATTCGGGAAGTGGAGTGGAGTGGAGGTGTTATTGTCTTGTCCGTCCAAATTATTATAAATAAAATAAAAAAAAGTTATTATAATTAACCCGAAATGAGTGCTTCTGATGATGATGCTCCAAAAACATTGGTAAGTAATCTGATTTTTTTATTTTAATTGGTGAAATCCATTGAAAATTCTAAAAATTCTAAAGCTAACCTATAATTATTCTGGAACCAAACAAACTGAATTTCGCTCCAATTTTTGGGACTAAGCTAACGATTTTTTAATGTGCAATTCTTTCGCGCCAACTTTGCACTTGTGTTCTCTTTATTTCAATTCATCAGTCTAATTTTTGTAAGATTTTTACATTATTTTGAACCCAATTTTGAACAAATGGGACGCACAAAGAAAAAGATGGTGTCTAAAAGACATCTTCGGCGTTTGGTTAATATGGAAGTGGAAAAAGAATTAGCAAAATCCAGAAGTTCATTTTGTACCCGAAAAATAGCACCAGATGATTCTTGTGGTGAACCAATAAGTGAAGAACTGGATGGCCTGTGCAATCACATTGAGAATAAAACATATTTAGATACAAGAATCGAGGAATCTACCACTGCAACTACTGCAACTAGTTATCCCTGTATTTATCCCAACTATTATCTTTTGCCTGAGAGTGAGAGTATTCAAGAAAACCAAAATGATGCTGATACTGAATTTGTGAAATCTGTACGGGGCTGGTTTTTGAAGTACCGTGAACTTCTAAGCCAAAGTGCAATGAACGAACTGCTTTTAATTTTAAAACCCAAATGTAAAACTTTACCTAGTGATAGCAGAACATTTTTAAGTACTCCACAATCTTGTCAGTTTCCAATATCTGTTGTGTCCCCAGGAAAATATTGTCATTTTGGATTAAAATATATGTTACAGAATATATTAAATACCAAAAATCTGCTAGAGTTTTGCGAAGACGGAAAAACCCTTTCCTTATCGCTCAGCATTAATATTGACGGTTTACCACTGTCAAGGAGTTCAACAAGTCAGTTTTGGCCAATTTTGATAAGCATTGATAATGAAAATTTAGAATGTCCCAATCCATTTCCAATAGGAGTTTATCATGGTTTTAAAAAACCAGAGTCAGCTTTGAAGTACCTGCAGGAGTTTCAGATCGAATTCAAACAACTAGAAAACGGCTTTCGCTTCAAAAACATCGAAGTGAAAGTACAAATTTCAAAAATAATATGTGACGCACCAGCGAAGTCCTTTATTTTATGTGTGAAGGGTCATACTGGTTATTTTAGTTGTACAAAGTGTGTGCAAGAAGGTGAATATATAAATGGCAGAGTGACTTTTCCGGATCTATCAGCTGTCTTGCGTACAGATGACGACTTTAAAAATAAAATTTGTGAAGACTATCACAGAGGAAATAGTCCTTTTGATGAACTATCTGTGGGTTTAGTGTCTCAGGTGCCACTGGACTACATGCACTTAGTATGCCTAGGCGTTATGAAACGTCTGATTATTTTTTGGGTTAAGGGAAATAAAAGTGTCAGATTACCTGAACTAAAACTTAAAACTGTTGACGAAAATTTAATCACTTTAAAATCAAGTATTCCAAAGGAGTTTTGTAGGTTGCCAAGAGGTTTGCAAGAAGTTGATCATTTTAAAGCAACCGAATTCAGGCAAATTTTACTATATACAGGACCATTTGTTTTAAAAAATAATTTATCTAAAATTCAATACTCACATTTTATGTGTTTGCATGTTGCTATCAGAATTTTGTGTAGTGCAAATTTGTATATTACATATAATAATTATGCATCTCAACTATTGAAATATTTTATTGAAAAATTTGCAGTAATTTATGGTGCTGAGTATGTATCCCATAATGTGCATTGACTTTTACATCTACCTTCGGACTGCATTAAACATGGAGTCCTTGATAATTTTAGTTCATTTCGATTTGAAAACTATTTATATATCTTGAAAAAAATTATGAAAACATCTAAGCATCCCCTGCAGCAACTGTGCAATCGCTTGAAAGAAAAAGAATTAAATTTAATACCATTCAGTAAAAGATCAAATAAGCCCATTATACTTCACCAAGAAATTGCAATGTATTTGCCAGGCTATCCAAATTGCACTTTTTTTAAAAGATTGCAAATTGGAAATTTTGAGCTTAGTTTGCATCCAAAAAATAATTGCGTTTTGTTGCATAATGAAACTTTCGTATTTATAGATAAAATCTACACAGATAATTCAACAAATGAAATATTTGTTTCAGGAACAAATGCACAAAATGTTAATTCATACTATGAAAGTCCATGCTCCTCCACAATTTTTAATATAAGCATAGTAACAAACATCTCAAAGAAAAGTCAAAATTATAAAATATGTGAGATCAAAGGAAAATGTTTTCATTTCCAAACTGTGGATGGTATTGTAATTATTCCATTAATTCATTGTTAAATTTTTTAAGTTATTTTTTATATAATTTTAATTATTTTGTATCATTAATTTGTAATTTAATTTGGTATTTCTGTACTTCCGTTTGTTTGGACTAGTTAGTTATAGTAAAAAATGTAAATAGCCTAAGCAGTTTTTAAATTTAAGGAATGGTCTATTGTTAAATTTCTTTGTGATGACAAAATATCACATGTTCCATCAACATGGCTGTCCATCCACAATCTGAAGGAAAACAACATTGCTCTTTGCTTCTGGCCTAGAAAAAATGCAGGCAAAAAAATTATTGGTCGATCGATTCCTGATTCTGAAAGTTGGGACAAACTGGAAGTGGTTATTCTAAAACAAACTGGTTAGTACTTTTGAGCCTCTACCTGTTTTCATTCATTAATTTTTTTTTTTTTTAGATTCATATTCAGAAGCAAGAGAATACATAAGACTAATGTCTGAAGGAGAAAGTGCACCAGAAACAAATAAGCCCTTGGGAAAGGGCCATAGGAAAGCCAAAAAACGTCCTTTTTTATTTAATGACTCTGATGATAGTGAGAGTGATGTAACAGGGGTAATTACACCGCCTCCAACTATAGAGTCCCCAAAAATTAGAAAAGTGAATAATTCTGAACCAAACAATAACAGTACCAATAAGAAAATAGAGTCGTTCTCATCTCAAAAAGCAAATAAATCATTTGATTCCCAAACAAGTAGTAATTCAGTTTAAACAGGCATAATATACTTTATTAATTTTTCTCTTTCAGCAACAATCATTCGCACAGTTTCAACTGAAATGGCATCAAATGTTATTACTTCATTAACCTCAGTGAGTGCCATCAACAAGGGTAAGTTTTTTTTCCTGTTGTAGTCAAGGCTTTAATGAACATTTTTTTTCTAGAAAACAATAATAATCATAGCTTGGTTCCATCAGCTGCCCCGTCACATTGTAGTTGCAACTGCCAAGGTAAGTTCTAAATGTAGGTTTATTGGAATTTACATTCCATTCTATTTCATGTATTTTCTAGAATCTCCATTAATTAAATCAATTTTAAGCAATACTGTTGCAATTAGAACAATGTTGGAGAGGCTAACTTCAGATGAAACAATGAGAAAAAATGATGACATAATTACCGATTTTGACTTGGTACCTAAGAAACCATTCTCAAAGTTCAAAAAGTTGAAAGAGTTTGATGAAAAACTAAAGACTGACAAAAGTGTAGAACGCCAGAATGTAAGTGTACTTAATTTGGATTAGTATATTTTACATTAATAATAAAAATGTATTCATTACCTTAGGAAACTGCTCTGTTCTTGCTTGGAGGGTCAAGTTACAAAGAATTAATAAGAAGAGACCTAAAAAAAATATTCACGGACAAATTGGCTACAAAATGTAGCTGGACAGGCCGTAAAAATAATTTTCCTCTTCATAATTTGAAAATACTGGATGTTCTTAAAATAGCTACAAGAAAAAAAATTGGTAGTACTACGGATGCCGAATTTCAAGCAGAAGTGGGTTTGTGGTTCAGGCAAGGAAAGCTGAGATTTGAAAGATCGCTAGCAGCAGTAAACAAAGAAAACCAAAACCGGGTAAGGTTTTTTTTCATTTATACAAGGCGTGAACTCGTTCATTTATTTTTTATTACATAAAACAATTGATCCTAGCACTAATTATATTTTTTCTTTCACTTTTAGGCTGCCACTGTGGAAGGAATGGAATAATAATAATTATTAGAAGATATTATAACAGATCTCTTCGAATAAAAACAGTATTTTATTTTTTACATGAAATTGTAGTATTATTTATTTTGCCTATTTATATTGTTTTGTAACGTACCTGAACTGTAATTTTGAAGCATTTCATAAACGTTAACTTGAAACGTTACATGAACATTTTTGAAAAGAAGTTTTGGTATGATTAATATGTAACGTTTCAAAATGTTTCCCTGCAATGTTACAATGAAACATTTCTGAGGTAGGACATTTTCAGTTACATATACATTTCTGACACATTTATGTGCAGTTTGATGAAACATTTCAAGCTTTAAATATACGTTTCTGATACATTTCAGAAACTGAAAAATGTTTAGTGGGGATGTGACAAAAGTGAGTCTCGCAACAATTGTAAGTATTAAAATTGCCCTCTGATTGGTCAATACTACTTCAGAAACGCGTTTGTAAAATGCTAGTGGGAACATATACAGTGAGGGGCAGGCTACTAGGTATATAGGATGTAACCTGACGAATTTGCAGGCGTCCACATGCCGCAAAATGACAAATCCTTTCAACATTCAAACGTGAAAAGACCTGTCACTCAAAAAAAAACATCATTAGGGCCGGTTTATTCACCTTCTGATAAACTGCCAGTTATGCAATCCGACCGATAAAAACGCAATTTGTAATCTCATTGGTCGGCCAGTTATCCGCTGAACAATAGAATTAAAGAACGGTAAATTTATCTTGCAGATAGTTACTAGCAAGTTTATCTGAAAAAGTCAAAATTGTTCAGTGATTTCACGGTGGTACCTAATTCATTACAAGTTAGAAATGTATTTAGTAAAAGTTATCCTGATAGACCTCTTTCTGCAATTACCACTGTTTCTAGGGTTGTTAATAATTTTAAAAAATACGAAGGGTGCGTTTCTCTCTGAAACTATGACCGGGATAACGTCCAGGAAAATAATGGGGAGCAAGAAGCAAGAGGAATTATCTTGTTGGCATTAGTTAATGAAACTCCAACTATGTCATAAGTACAAGCACGATAAGGAGGCTACTGAAAACAAATAAATATGATTCGTAATTCCCAAAGACTTAATCCTGAGGACGGGCGAATGGAGTTAAGTGAAACTGTGATGAATAAAACAAATGAAAATAAAGCTTTTATTACAAAAATTGTCTTCACAGATGAATCAACATTTCAACTCCATGGTCAACATAATCCTAGTGACACCCATTATTGGTCTAAGGAAACCCAGCGTCCTCAGAAGGTAAATTTCTGGAATGATTTGAATGGAGAACATGTTATTGGGCAGTACCTACTTCATCGATGGTAACTTCACTGGTCTAAGATATTTTTGCAACAGCAAATAGTTCCAGAAATGAGAAGATTAGCTCGTCCTAGATTCAATGAAACTCTCAACAAGATAGTTGTCCACTGTTCAGTCCATAATACGGGATTCATTCTAGATTCGGTTCGAAAAATCTATTGATAACCAACGCTCAACTATCTACATGCGTAAATTTAATTATAAATAAGTGAAGCTCTACGATATACTTTTAAAAATACGGTCCACTCGCGACTACGTTTTGTACAACGTTCTATCTGCACAGTTCAACACGTTGCAGACAAATTGTTGTGATCAGTTTTCAGTAACTTAGCGTCTGAACCAGGCTTGAGTCTGTATCATAACCCTCGTGTGTCTAAATATTGGTCTAAATTCCCAAAATGTTGGTGATTGCGATTAATTACTGCCAATACCAAACTACAGCTTGCCAAATCCTGTTCAATTTAGCAATACTGCTCTTTCTACCATTCCACCACGGTGCCGACACCAGCTGAATTTAGCCACATGCGGAACGTACTGAAGTGAACAAACTTCAACGAACGTCAAAGTCGTCGAACGAACGACAGCGACAGGTTTTCAAACGGCTGCGGACGGACGTAAATTCCTCAAGTTAGATCCTATATACCTAGTAGCTTGCCCCTTACTGTATTAAAATTCAATAGTAATTAACCCCCAGTAGCTTTTTGTAGGTGATATCAACGACATAATCACTGGACATACGTTTTTTGCCACCAGTATCACGTGACTTTAAAATGGTATTTGTCGGACTTTAGGAACCGTTTGGGTCCTCTTTCAACAATTGAACTTGCCCATTAAAACATCCATATAAAGTTTATAATAAATTTACTCAACAACTGAGTGGAAGTTTTATTTATTAAAAAGTATATAAAATACAACCCTTGGCGAACGTTACAACCTAACAAGTACACTTTTTCTTCTGGCAATATTTGTTCGAAGAACTGCTTTAAAAGGTGAAGTTCCAACTTCTGCATGCGAAATTAAGAGGCGATAAACCAACTGAAACGCCACAATATAATTTGCATTGCACGGCTACATTTTTGTTTGCTACTTTGTTGATTACATTTTTACTATAGTCACTTCAAGGCTCATTCGTATTCATATTCTCTTAGTTTTCTATCGATGTATTGCGATACAACATCAGGTTGCATTTTAATTTTTGTATTACCACCCATATGCTCAAATTAAATATAGTTTTCCATATCTTCCTCTAACTGCAACAGAGAGAAAAAACTATAAGTAATAGATAGGTAAGTAAGCGGTATTCATTCAAGGTATTATTGAACAAATTTTCAGCATTCTCATTATTTGTATTTATACTCCAGGAAACAGTCAAATTTTTTAGCATTTATTTTCCTAGTTGGTGTATATTAAATAGTTTGTTCTCTTGGTGATACAAAACAAGCATTCTCGAGTCTGATTAAAATTTTCGGAAGGGTTCACAAGATCTATGAGAAATACAAGTACCCTTATTTTCCCAGTCATAAATATTCCACATATACTACAATAGAACATAAAGTATATGAGAATAGCAATTTAGCTTATCTCAGATAGTGGAAAGTGACTAGTGAGTCTGGCTGAAAATTTTCGGATCTTCAATTTTTCACTTGCGAAACGTATCATCCATACTCACAGATTAGCCAGACTATTTTTTTTACGTAACTTCAGTATACCTCCTATTAGTAGAGCTATTTTTATCACTGGAAAAAAAGGGCCTTGCATTCGTAAGCTCTGACGCATTTTGCGCCTCAACCCATCGGAAAACCCTCCTAAAAATATATGAATTTTGCTTAGAATTACTAACCCGGCATAAGTTCCGAAAATCACTGCCTCCTAGACTATTAATTTTGAGACAACTTTCGAATTAGTTTGAATTTGACTGCCTCGATAGTTTGAACGCAGAATTAAATTAACATGAAAATTTAATTTTTTTTTTCGTGAAAAATCAACATTTTATGATATGAAATAAGTGTTATCCAAAGTTTAAACTTTGATGTTACCCATTTTTTACTTACATTAAAATAGTCTTCGCATGCGTAAAGGCCTCCACTTTTTTCAGAGATATCCTCTGCGGTGAAGCTTTTAACAGGGACAATGATTTTCGTACTGTTAAAAAAAATTAAACAAAACAATAGTATATTGTTTTATTAGGAGTAAAAATGATACTTTTTGTGGCGATACTAAATGTTTGACAATTTTAGACGAGCCACAAAAAGTGCTTTTCTCCGAATAAAACATCCGCAAACGGTGTTCAAACGATGGAATCAAGATAGAATTTCTGTGACGTCACTTTTTTGTCCGGCCGTGAGCGTACAAAAAATTACACTTTTTTGTACGATCACATCACGGTCGTACAGAAAAGTAACAAAAAAATGACGTCTGTGAAGTCAAACTTCAATATTAAGAATTAAGGTTAAAAATGTCGTCATTTTTTGACGTTTGCAGAAAATAATATATTGTTGTATTAAGAGTAGAAGCTTTACTCTTTTGTGCTGAAGCGGTAGGTTCACAAAAAGTGCTTCTACTCAGTATGCAACACGCTATTTTTTCTCCAAACGAATGAGGTAAGCTCGGGGCTAAGGGCATGGTTGCGCGGCAGTTAAAGTACGAGCGGCACCAAAAGTAATTTAACTGCCACTGGGGTTGCCTAGCGGCATTGAAGTAAATTTCTACCATCTTGACAGGTGTTAACTCGCTGGATTTGCCTAGCAACATAGAAATTGAATTTCTAATATCTTTACAGGTGTTAACAAAATGGAGAAAAAATATTTTATCTGCTTCGAGTGAAAGGGGTATGTCTTTGCGTGCTCGAATGTATAGTATAAAAGATTCAGATGACATTCTGGCTTGATACCACAATAAGTGTATGACAGCTTGCTATAGAGATAAGCGTTCTTCAAAAAAAAAATAAAACAATCAAAGAATGCTATGGTTTTTTGAACGTATGCCATATTTTTCTTTAATTTTGTCAATGAACTTTATTGTCAAAATGTCATGTCAAAAATCCTGACCAATAAAGAAACAATAATGCGACGTACGTTTTCATAATCAAAGCAATCTTTGATTGTTTTTTTTTTTGAAGGCTCGTTAGTAGCTCTAGTGCTTCGTTTACGGGTCGTCCTGTCAGTAAAACTACAAAACTTTTTATTGATCATTGTATTGAAATTAAAGAAATATTTGAAGGTGGAATTCCAACATTCGGCACGGTACAAAAAAAAAAACTTACAGCTGTATGCAACTTCCTCTTTTAACCTAAAAGGGCTTTTTGAAACTGGTCACGTTTAAAAACTTGTATTCTAAGCAATACAAATTTTTGAAGGTACCATTTTTAAAAAGCTCTTTTAGGTTAAAACAGGATGTTGTATACGGCTGTTAATATGTACGTACTTTAGTGACGATCTCGTTTTTACTTTGATGGCAGGTGATGTGGCTATCACATTTGAAAAAAAAAATCTTGCAAGAAATTTAACAAAATGTGGTATGAATCGCGATCGCAAAATATTGCTGATGAAAAATGAGAATTTTGGAAATGGCTGTCAATATCATTTCTGAAGACATTAGGTCACAGATTTATGATGGAAAATATATACGTAATGCAGAAGAAGAAAGTAAGTGTGAGGATGTTCCAGCAACCTTGTT